GCAACTAGCCAAAAAGTGAACAGCTGTGCAAAGAAGAAGCAGGTAGTTTTGATTTCATAAAAAGATCCCTTTCTTTTTCTTTTTTTTTTTTTTTTTAAGTCATCCGTAAATTGCAGATATACTAGCTGATTTTTTTCTGACTAGCCAACCTTGAGGCCTCATGTTGCCAATGCTGAATGCACCAATGTCTTAATAAAATTGTGCAAAACCCGGTTTAACTAAGTTTCTTCTATATATTCATTAGTAAAACAATTTAATTAACGATTACTGTTTGCGACAAAACTAGCATTAATCCTGCCTATCAGAGAAACATTTCTCCATATCTTTCAGTAATCTGAAGTTTAAATGTGTTAAATAGGTGAGAAAATTTATCCTTCTTTGGTTTTGATGAGCTTCTCTACCTCATGTGTATTTGGAAAGAATGTATTCTATTCTTTTAGCTTTAATAACTGATTCAAAAATAAATGTTCTCTATAAGCCATGCTGATCTTTCTATAGAGATGTTCCGCTACCTTGTTAGGCTTCCTATGCCAAATAACGAGGAAGTTTGGTATATTAAAGTACAAAATTACTTGTACTGCTTCTTAGTGTAATGTGTTCTACAAAAAGTTTCATATTTATCTAGTATTTAATGAAAGTATTTGGTGAACTCAATAATTTGAGGTCTGAATACCTCTTCTTTGATAACTCTCCTTGCTGCATAAACAACCTGAGTTTATGTTCTGTAATCATCAACTATCTCAGCATTTTATTTTTTTTATTGGAAGGAAAATAAATCTGGAGATGAAGAAGGAAGCGTATATGTGACAAGGACTTCTGAAAGCTAAATTTAGATCAATAGATAGGAATACCAAGTTTTGACCTCCTAGTGCTTCCCTCAGAAAATGAATGTAGCAGTGTTTATTCCATATCTGCAGTAAGAGAACTTACTGTTCTGGTACACTTAGCAGTTTTCATTGTCAACTCTTCTACTTCCTCTAATTTTACAATTTCAAAACTTTTTTCATTCCTTTCTGAAATCAGTTTAACTCTTTTTGTTACTGTTTTGTGTTAATGGCTGTTGGTGCTACTTTTCGTGATCCACACCTGTTTGCAGTATATTAGCACTCCCAAACAATTTCCTCTGCTGCATGCTACCATAAGCCTCAACTCAGATTCAGAAATCTTACAGCTTTGTGGCATTTGAAGATGAAGGTGAGCACCTCTTTCCAGGTTCTTCAAGGTATTTGTGCATTAATTTCCAAGAGAGTTAGGTGAATGAACAGCGTTGACACATTTTATGTAGGACTTTTCAAAATCTAACCTCATGACCTCTGACTACAGTATTTACTACAGCTGCATATGAACTGTCACATATAAATGCCAGGGTCCAGATCCTCACTCACTATTCAGGCTGGGCTAAAAGTTTTGGCTTTGTTTTGGTTACATACCTACATTGCTGTTTTCTGGCAGGTCGTGGGAAGAAGATTGGCTGGCTTGGGGGAGCTTCTGTATACATGGCTTTTAGGCTGAAGCCAAAGTGTTCCTCTAGATCTGGAAGTCTGAAGATGGCTGCAGTCTCCAAGCTCAGATACAACCACATATTAGTCTGGCACAACTAATTTTTGTGTTCCTTCACCTCCTCTTCAGATACAAAGACATGCATCTCTTTCACGCTCTTTCGTTAGTAAACAAACCAGGATAGATTAAAGCCTCTTTCAAGTCAGTAAGAGACCTGCCTTTGGTTTCAGTGAGAATGCAGGCCTTAACAACTGAAGGTTCTTCTGTATGGTGTTCCTTCTGTATAGGATAATTTCATTTCCCTTTTGAAGGCTTTCAAGGACATAGTAACAAAAGCAAAGGCATAAAACAGTACCTGAGGCATAGGCTACTTTTGAGCCTGCAGCAGACTATAGGTATGTCATGATTGTTTCAGAAAAACATGATCAATGCAACATGAAATGTTCCAGCATGCTTACAATCTGCCAAAAGCCAGAAGAACGTGACCTTTGTTTTAAGACAGTATGGAAGACAAAAAATTAAGAGAAGGAACTTTTCCTTCACCTAAGTTTTATTATGTTGCAACTCCTTCAAGTGTCCATAAGGAATTAGGACCCTCCTTCCTCACCCACCCAAAAATAAAAAAATAAAAAAGAAAGGTGGCATAGAGGTATAATTTCAGTTCACCCCAGAAGACATTCTTCTCACTGAAGTACAGATAAGCCCCACAAAATGCCAAAAAAAATGCCAAAAAGTAAAGTATTTACAAGCCAGTCTTACATGCTGGCATTATTTACTTGTCTGGTCTTGCATTCAGGGCTTGATCTATTTGGGGGGAAGAACCCCGAGAAGAGAGTCAAGACTGGGGGAAGTGCAAAACATAAGGATCAGGCCCAGAAGGAGCACCGCATCGTAACCTGTGCCACAAAAAAAAAAGAGCACAGATAGCAATGAAATTTTTCTTTTTTTTTTTTTTTTTGACATTTCATTGAATCTGTAATATTGGAGTAGTAACCAGAACACAAAAGAAAGGGAAGGTGAAACAGTAGAAGGTACTTGCATGGCCATAGTTTACAAAGCAGGTGACACCAATCACAATATGCAATGATGTCAATTTGCCTTTCACCATTTGGACGTGGGACCGGGACGCAGGACCAGTCCTACAGCTCCCCAGCCAAAAACCACTGTAGAACCCATGGACACTTACGTGCCAGCTTCTGAACTTGAGTTACTGCCAAACTACTTCACAGGGAAGTAGCACCCCCAGGGTTTTCCTGTTCTGAGATATCATCACCAACATAACTAGCTCATAGATTCTCCAAAGCTCTTTCACAGAGATGATAGAAAACATGAAGAAAAAGCAGCCTACTCCAGAACATTGAGTCCATTTCACCAGGACAGTAGAACAACACCCTAAGTAACCTGAACCACAACCTCCTCTGCAGTAGCAAATCTTTCCATAACTCCTCATGCTTCCTTTATAGCAAAGATCAAATGATCCCCACCTGGCAGATTTCACTTCACATGTGTGGAGCCAAGACACCTTGTGGAATAGGCTTATCAACCTGGCTTCAATGTTTTAGGTTCAATTGCTCCTTATCTCTAATAGGAATTACCTGACAAGGGGCTCAGTGGTTAATGTTGCCCTAATGAATTAATTACAAAAGGCACGTAAGGGTCATATTTCTGCTAGTTATTCTGTGAGGAAAATTAGTACGGAGGCTGTTACAATAAGATTAACAAACCTAAATAAAAGAAAGACATAAAAGAAAAAAGCAAATGACCTAAAAGGCAAAATTGGTGCCATAGATTTTCATCTGTCTAGTCACGACAGATCAAGAATATAGCCATCAGAATGACTTTTCTTGACATTATTGTTATTTAAATTTGCTTCTCTGAGATCTCTTCTTAATGCCGGACTTTTCAAAATCTAGCGCCATGACCCCTGACTACAGTATTTACTTTGGCTGCATGTAAACTATCACGTATAAGTGCCAGGATCCGGATCCTCACTCCCTATTCAGGTCAAGGACCGGGCTGAAAGTTTTGGCTTTAATTTGGTTACATGACTACATTGCTGTGGTTGTGGTTTTCCCCGGCCAGCAGCTAAGCACCAGACAGCCGTTTGCTCCCCCTTCCCTCTCCCCCTCTGGGATGGATGAGAGAAATAGGAAAACAAAGCCTGTGGGTCGAGATAGAGACAGTTTATTAAGACAGGAAAAAAAAATAATAACAGTGAGAATAGTACTGCTACTACTAATGTGTACGGAATAAGTGATGCACAATGCAATTGCTCACCACCTGCTGACCCATGCCCAGCCTATCCCCAAGTACACGCCCCCCCTCATCCCAGCTAGCCACCCCTACCTATTGTTTAGCGTGACATGAGAGGGTATGGAATAACCCTTTGGCCAGTTTGGGTCAGCTGTCCTGGGTCTGTCCCCTCCCAGCTCCTGCTGCACCCCCAGCGTGCCCACTGGCAGGACAGAGCGAGAAGCTGGAAAAGTCCTTGGCTTGGTGTAAGCACTGCTCTGCAACAATTCAAACATCAGCGTGGTATCAACACTCTGTTCATCCTAATCCACAACATAGCACCCTACCAGCTCTGAGGAGGAAAATTAACTCTATCCTAGCTGAAACCGGGACAGCTGTTTTCTGGCAGGTCGTGGAAAGAAGATTGGCTGGCTTGGGGGAGCTTCTGCACACATGGCTTTTAGGCTGCAGCCAAAGCATTCCTTTAGATCTGGAAGTCTGAAGATGGTTGAGTGGTTGGAAAGCTGCCTGGCAGAGAAGGACCTGGGAGTATTGGTTGATAGTTGGCTGAATATGAGCCAGCAGTGTGCTCAGGTGGCCAAGGCCAATAGCATCGTGGCTTGCATAAGAAACAGTGTGTCCAGTGGGTCTAGGGAAGCTCTGGTGAGGCCGCACCTCGAGTACTGTGTTCAGTTTTGGGCCCCTCGCCATGAGAAGGACATTGAAGTGCTCAAGCAAGTCCGGAGAAGGGCAATGAAGCTGGTGAGGGGTCTGGAGAACAAGTCTTACGAGGAGCAGCTGAGGGAGCTGGGATTGTTCAGCCTGGAAAAGAGAAGGCTCAGGGCCGACCTTATCACTCTCTACAGGTACCTTAAAGGAGGCTGTAGAGAGGTTGGGTTTAGTCTATTCTCCCACGTGCCTGGTGACAGGACGAGGGGAAATGGGCTAAAGCTATGCCAGGGGAGCGTAATAAATGACCGAGTCCCAAATAGGATTGCAATTACAGTTCACAATTTATTAAAGGAATAGAGGTAAGCAAACAGCGCTGGGTGCGCCGGGAGTCTCTGCTCCAGCAAGACGCACACAAGTTATACCAGGCGGCTGGTTTTTATGCTCCTAGGCTAATACATATTCATTACCACTTCTAGAAAAGGCAGGGTTATTATAATTAGTTCCCGGAATCCGAACCCTCCCACTGGCACATGCGTATCAGTCTCTGGTGGTCCCTCTGGGGGTCTCTTGTGCTGAAGGCTCATAGTCTTCCTCCCAGGCTTTTTCCTTGTCCTTCTCCTTTGTCCATCTTGGCCAGATGTCAGAGACTTGTGCAGCGTCCCATGCAAGCTTTGTCTTTTAGTTGTCCTTCAGCTTTTTCCCTTCTCCTTAAGCTCTTGGCCACATATCAGAAACTTGCATAGTGTCCCATGCAATAGTCATAATAGTTTGCAGTTACTCTGAAACCCCTTCGTTCTCTTATCCCCTATTGACACAAATTGCTGCACAATTCCTTTGCAAGATATGAGAACTATATACATTAACCACCCTGTTTTTCTTAGACTTCTATAACTACAAGGGTACGTAAGACAAAAGGTGTAATGTTGAACTGTTTGTAGGTTTAAAGTTTTCCCTTAAAAGTTTAAAATAAGCTGTTTAAGCACAATTCTTACATACACATGAACATTTTCCTCTCCAATTTCTAACTTGGAGTGCAATATTTTTCATCATTCTCTTAGATCAGGATTCTGATTCTAACAATGGTTCCTACTGCAAATTTGCAGAGAAGAGAGAAGCAAACCAGTCCTGACTGCTTTGAATGAGACGGAGATGCAAAACAATGTAAATGAAGAAAATAAACTTGTAGTAAAATAATACATTGTCCAAAAGCTTTAAATTGGTTGAATCCTTGAAAGTTAATATAAACTCAGGCTGCATCACTGAATTTGAAGTAGTAAGATAGACTTGCATCATTGCAGAGCCTCAGTCACAGCTTAAATTGGCACTGCCTCTGACTTCCCAAGCATGAAAAAGAAAAGCATATCTTTCTACCTTGTTTCTGGCTTAGGTCAATGAATGTCACTGAAAGGAATTTTTCCTTTTGGCTGTTACTCCTGAATGGCACAATGCCAGCAAAAGGTAAACACAAGGCAAAAGCCTTGGAAATAGTTTTGTATGCCTTTGTGGGTGTGGATGAGTTATGCTAACACAAGCTATATGCAGGGCAGCTGTAGGTAGATGTTTTCCTGCTGTGTTCACAGTGGGGAGTCAGAAGAGAGCTGTTGTAGCAAGAAAGTTTACTTCATGAGGTTCCTTAAAATTTAATTTTCCTTTTTTTTTTTTTTTTTCTTTCAAATAATCAAATCTTTCTTGGCTGCAGGACATTCACAGATATACAGAACAAACATCCACCTTGAATCCAACCAGCAACAGATCAGTTCTATTCATCTCTAAAAGAGTTTTCAGAAAACTTGACAGACATAGGAATAACAGGGATTTTGTATTAATGAGAAAATTACATCTAGCTTTACTTGGTTATTTTTTTTTTTTTTGCTGTTGTTGCTTGTTGAAAGCAGTAATGTCTTTTTTTTAAGACTAATTTCAATAGAACCTTCTTCATATGCTTCTCTCTGTGGGTAACACAGGGTTTGGGAAGACACCAGTCATACTGTTTTGAATCCTCTACTCCAGTTAAAGTAAAATATACATTGGGATAGGGGATTTCACAGTCTAGTCATATCGAGGACAGTAACTTCTTCAGCAGCTCTAATTTGAAGTGTTCCGTTGCAAACTATACAACAGCTATAACTATTGAGAATGTACCTGGATGTACCTTAACCCCGGCAGATTCTATTATTGTAGCAAATGAAGTGGGCTAGTTCCTGGTTCTTCCTGCACCAAAATACAGGGGTGGTTAGTATACTCTAGTCCATGCACCAACCTTGTTATTTTAGAGTATCATTTTTCCTTCTGTCTAGGCATGTAAAAGTTCCCTTACCACTAACAAAAATAGCCCTGAAGTCACAGAGGAGCAAAGCCATAGCTTGTGCTCTTCCTGTAAATTCCCACTTCAGCTCATCTTATTCTTTATGAGTCATCATTGCTTATTACTTCAGTTGCCCTACAGCTCCTGCAACTCATGCAAGAAACTTTTCAAAGTTACACTTAGGTCATTGGCTGATATCATAGATACTTTAAAAACCACTTCAAGCAGCAATTTGTTGGACCCAATGTGGATATCAAAATAAAAACAGCTACTGGTAGACTTAGGGAAAAAGAACAAAAAAAAAAAATGTTAAAGTTAAAAAGTAACGTTTTTTAGGACATTTCACTGAATATGTAGTATTTACTAGTAACCAGACTACAAAAAAAGGGAAGAAAAAAACAGTACAAGGTACTTGCATGACCTTAATTTACATGGCAATTGACAACAGCCACAATCTGCCATGATAATAAGTGCCTTCTACTATTCACCCTTGAGACAGAAAAATGGGATTCCCCTATCACTTAAGGGGAGTGCAATCCCTTTCAAAATATAACAGTCTGGGGTACACTACTGAGTACTGAAAGTCTTAAAACAAGGCAGAACTGAACTGAGAACGGAGGATGAGTCTCCTTGGATCTTCATGTAACAGAAAGGAAACTCAGATTGCTCAGTCCTAAGCAACTGGTTTTAGAGACAGGCCGGGAACTGGTTCTTTTTAACCCAGGGTCCATTTCAACATCTTCAAAGCTAAAGAAATGGTTGACTGCCCTATTGAATCACATTCCAGGTGGAAAAACTCTTTTTCGTATTAACATAAAGAGCTTAATGTCTTGCTTCTGTCTTAAAGATGCATTGTGGATTCAAACGTACTCCCTCCAAGATGAAGCCCCACCTTTACTTTGTGGGGCTCATATTCTGCATACAAGATTTGTAACTTCAAACTTTATAGTGTCCCCCCTTGATGAAGGGAGGAGGTTGCAGATGTCTAAAAGTGCGAGACAACTTCCAAAATCACATTGGATTTCCACAAGACTACTTGAACGTATTCCTGCCAGTGCATAAACACTTTTGCAAACAACCATAGATAAGACATGCAGGGCTAAAAAGTGTGGTACTCTTTGTTTAACATGTTTCTGCATATTTCCAACTTTATGAACCAGTCAATCTGAGATCACAGCTTGAGATCCCAACTGTGGCTTAGGATATGCTTTGCACCATAGAACTTCCTCCCCCGTAAGATCCCTTGTTTAGGAATTACAGACTCTGAGGCCACCTGACTTGTAAAGTGCATAAATTCCTACCTCAATCTCTGTGTTGGGTTTAATTTCTTTATTCCAAAACAGACAGTAGTAGGCAGCCCCAAACACTCAACTATCATGGTTTTGACTGAGGCTGCAATTTTTAATCATTAGTTGCAAGAATAATTTTACTTCTGTTGTTGGGGCATTTAGGAGACATGCTTTCAAGGTGTTTATTTGCTCCTTTGATAGTTTAGAACTTCTATTAAAAATGTATTCAGAAATAATGTGGTTCAGCACAGCTGGATCTCTGAGAACCATTACTACATCAGGTATTGTATGACGTACAATTGTTTTAAGATGATAATACTGTTCCTTGCAAGGCAGGAATCTACCTTTTCCAAAATCACACAGAAACCCCTTCCTTGAGAAAGTGTGGTATAACAAGACTCCTACTTAGTAAGAAATACTTCATAGGTTGCTATTTCTGTCCCCTTTCCACATAAACTAATAGCTATGTTATCTGACAATTCATTCCTGCTCCTTGCAATGGACAATATGACATAGTCCTTAGTCAGATGCTTAAATGGGGAAAACCAGATCTAGGGAGTCACTGTCCAGCAAAGAATGCATCAGTGGATTATTATTATTATTATTTACCTTTGAGGTTAGGTCTAAAGAGAAATATTACAAGGGCAGAGGGAGAGAATGAAATAACTTCGGAACCTCCCTAAAATGAAATACAGTTCCTGGGCTGTGGCTAAACAGCTGCTGTATTATAAAATGAAATGGCAGTTGGGTAATTAAAATCTTTATTCATTTTATTACATCACATTACATTACAGTTGATTGAGATTGAAAATTTCATTATCAAGGCATTTTTGTTTTTGACACTTATTGAGATATTTTTAAAACAAAATAAAACTTGAAAAACTACCCACAATTATAATCAAATTGGCAGTCTAATATAAAATGTATCTACGCGGTTTTATGAAATATTCGTTTTCATAAGCAAATGACTATGTAACTCGTTTGGTTCTTTCACTAATTAAAAACTAAACCAACTTAGAAACCAACCTTTGAAACTCCATTACAGACTTACTTTTTTGTTTTACAGAGTTGGTGATAAAATACTCCTGCAGTTTGACTTGCCTTCTATTCAGCTGCACATTCTCACAGTTTGCTCCAAGTTTTTAGATCAGGAGCAGCCTAACTTTTCTCTGTACACAGAAGTGCTGTGGGGGGGGAAAAAAAAAAAAGCTGATAGACTTAAATATTCCAGGAGATAGAAATAACAGTCCCTATTAGCAAAAACTTGTTGCTCAACAAGAAAGAGCTCATATCCTTATACGGTACTGGAAGTTATTTCTCTTTCAAGAAGGTATAGATTTTCAAATTGCTTACTAACAGAAAGACAACCAGATTACTAAGTGACGTACTCTCTCTCATGGCTGGAAGCTCTGTCTGGGAGAAAAAAAAATAATCCAGGCCCAGAGTAGTAATAGCATTGTTGTTTCCCATTCCTGTAAATGTTAAGGAGGAACCAAAACATAATCATTCACACACACAAAAAAGTAGAAATATGCACTACATAGGAACTATCCATGTTGTGGGACAACTCCAAACCATTAAAATTTCCAGAAATTATGCAGTTGTCTACATAACTGGATGACTGATTTTATTAATTCACCGTGAATCACAATGAATCATTAAGAGATGGAATGGATATGGGGATGCTTATAATACACTAGTATATATTATAATGAAAGGACTTCAGAGGGAACAGGATTACTATAAAACAGTAACAATTCCTCTTGACTTCACCCATTATTCTCCAGGAGCTCTTGAAAATATACCTGTGAGATGCGTTCCATTAAATTCTTTTATTAAACAAATGTTTGCATAGTATCATAAGCATATATACCACTTGATTATCTATTCAGGACCAGATTCTGACCAAAATCCTATACTTAAAACAGGCAGAATAATATAGCCTAAAGCACATTAAAAATGTGCCACTATCTTTACAAACATTTAGAAGTTTTCCAATCCTAAAGATCTTGGAGCCAAAGTGATGGCACCTTTCCCAATTGCGAAAGTGCTGAAGTGCTGATAGGTAGTTACTCAGTGACTTCTTAATGCTCTCTCTTTGCACATAAGCACTAGGGACTTTTACAGTGTGCACATTTAGGATTATGCTACTTTACACTTTCTTACAATTCAGAAATCTAATTTCATGAGCTTAATTCCCCCCTTCACTTGAGAGAAATAGGTACCTAACTTGCACATCAAAATTTAGCATGAAATTACCTCCTTACGCTGCCACCACCAATCATATAATAATAAAATTAGCTTTTAGCTAAGCACGTCAATACCAGCACACAAAGCACTTCTACGCTCAGGTCACTAGCTCCAATCCATACAAGTAGGAAAGAAAAAGCTGCTGTATGTAAGACCGGTGGTCAGCATTCAGTTTCAAGTGTGTGGTGGTTGCTATGACAATGTTACCACGACTTTTTGCATAACCTTAGAAAAGAGTCCAAGGATTGAATAAACACTGACACCAAGTTCTCCACTTTCCTAAAGTAAGTGGTCCCCAAAGGTCAGGGAGAAGTCTTACTTGTGGAACAGTGTCAAGAAAATGCAACTGCAGCTGTCTGTTATAACTGCTCTGTGAATAAACAGAGGTTGAATTTCAGCATCCACGTCTTCAGCAGCATACAACGTTATGCTCCAAAAAACAGAAAGCATCTCTTTGTTCGTAACTTCATGAAGAGCGCTAAATACTGAACACAGATCTTGAAATGCCTCGGGTGTTTGTCTTCACAGCTTAAGAAGGGCATGCATTGATACTACAGGTTTCCATCCCCTTTGTGTGAGTACACAGGAAACATGAGTTCTCTCCTGCTGTCATTTTCATGCCAGATATGGAATTAAAACAAACAAGAGGAGCAAGAAAGGGAAGATGTCCAGTTAATACTATCTTTGTATATAAGCAAGTATTTTTCTTCCTTGGAAGGAAGTCCTTTTATATCCACTACACTTCCTTACAGCTTTCCCAACTGAGAGACAAAGAGTTTTATTGGAGAAGGATCAGTTAGGTATTCCAGGCCTCATTAAGCTTATGGTGACACTGGAGCAGTAAGCATTCCTTGAAAGAAACAATGACTTCAGTAACTGAAATGACCGGTGAGGTTGGATTGGGTTTGTTGGTACAGGCTGAAGAGTTTCTTCACTCACCTGTTGGTCATTCACGCAGGGATGGACATGCTTTGCTTTACTGGGTGACCAGAAGAGTTTGGCAACACTCACTCTGCTGCAAATCACATAGACAAATCTTTAACAGGAGCTCCTTTAGCAAAGAGCTAGAACTGTGTTCACCACACATTCCCAATTTTCTTGTTCCCTTTTCATGTCAATCCCATCAAACACATTGCTAATTACCTGCATGTGAGTGCCCCAGCCTAAGCTTATGCACATTGTTGAAGTATATATCAAATTGTTTTATAAGGTAAATTTGTAACACTGACTCATGACTTAATATAAATAACCTAACAGAAAGGACTCAATAGGGGTTCCTAACTCCTTTTTTACAAAGGGAACTCAGGGCCCCAAAAGTTGAAGACAATCTTGAAAACTAACCACAGGAATCTTTTAAAATCTGAGTTGAGATCTTCATGAAGCCACATTGTCAGAGACCAGGGAAATTCTTTAGAACATGAATGTACACTCTTTTATTAGGGGTATGAGTATGTATGTGGTTAAAGAAACCATAAGATTTCCACAGCTGACACAATTTTTTGTTGTTTTTATAAGTCTGCAAAATACTACATATGTATCAACATTAGATATTTAAAAACACGGGCAACACTTAGTTTCACAGTATTACTATTGCTGCTTTCTGTCATTTGAGATCACAAGTTATTTATCTTCAATAAGGTTTAGATTTCCAAATGCAATAAAATTAAGAGCTTTTAAGCATTTGACCGCTAAGCTGTACATGCCTATCTTGAAAATCATGCATCCATAAGATATTTTCTGGCAGGCATGAGTTTGGCCCAAATACTTGATGGCCGAATTCATGGAGAAAACCATGCACAGACTCATTCCAAAATTATATAAATAAACAATAGAAATCAAAACGGAAGCAGAAAAACCATGCTTGGGCATCGCAAATATGCTTTCAACCCTCAATAGAACAAAAATACATTCCTCTTCAGCTGCTACCATTTCCTGCTTCTCAAAAGAAGGTCTGCATTCATTAATGGTCTATGTAATGCACCCCAGGATCTGGATCCCATCTGAAAATAAGCACACCTGGCCAGATGGCACTCAAAAACTTGCATCTGAGGTACTTCCCAAAGTGTAACTTATAGTTGTAAATGTCCCAAGAAGAGGGGGAGAGAGAGACTCTCAATCCCTCTCCTGGTGCTGCTTGATGCAGACTCCAATTTAATTGAGGATATGAGCTCATGTGTAAAGAGAGCTTGTTAATAATATAAACAGCAATAGCACGTAAAATAAACTATTACAAATAGCCCACTAAAGGAACATAATCTGTTAATGTATTTATGAATACCCAATAAGATGTATCTTTCAATATAACATACTTCCTTTTAACTGTACCACATTCGTAGTTTATGCGCTGCTTGCTGCAATTCTTCTCACAAACTGGTTACTCATCTGACAGAAGTAGTTCTTTGGAAGAGCTTATAGATGATAATTACTTGTTACTAGTGAAACTTTATGTCAGTTGCCCTCAATATTTCCACCTACTCTTGGAGATTCAGTATGTTAGTCTTTAAATTATATGCAACATAGTGGAAATAAGAAGGGGAAAAAAGGAGAAAAAAAAGAAAAAGAACGTAATGATCACCCTGTTTCTTCCTGACTTTAGTTCTCTTTCACACTTTGCACGCAGCTGTCCAATATTGCTATTGGAAAACAAGGAAACAAAAAAGACCTCATGCACCTGCATGTACACAGCACTAGGTGCTTCTGAAAAGAATGCTTATGAATACAAGCAGCTTCTCGGTTGCAAATGTTTGCTTTCCTCACAGAAGATAGGTGGAAGGTAGCCAGTATTGTCCGAAGCAAATTCATGAAAGATTCATAAACAAAAATCACACAGAAACAAAATTAGGTTCCACATCCTACAAGACATAAAGATACACAAATATCTAGTAAAGAGCTTAAATGAAATAAATATCAGAATTCTGTCCCAAGATGTAAAGACAGCAAAAGATATATAGCTATAACAGACACTATTGAAATATACAGAGTTTTCTTGTTGCAGTGCAAAGATAACACATCGTAAGCATGTTCCCATTAGCAAAAGTGATCTTTTGTTAGTAATCGGATTAAAAGGCTTCACCTTACAAAGCTTTCAACAGATGTCCTTATGTTCCACTGACAGATCCTCAAATGTGTAAGACGATGCATGACACTGCAGAAACTCTCTTTGGTCTGGGAATACCTAATGGCTAGTTCTTTTGGTCTTTTACCATACAAATTTGGTAGCTTCTGCCCTTCTGCCTGTGTCTCTTGAGCTTCCTTAGCATGGATTGCGGGGGAGTGGGCTGCACTCACCTGTTTCAAGATCTCTTGCACGCTGGTGGTGATGCCAAGTAAGCAATGAATTTAAAAGCTTCTCAGGAAGACAATCATTTGAAGGGGAGACACCATGAATGAATAACAAATCCAGGCAGACTGCCTTCATTTCAGTCTCAGCCTAGCAGAGCACCCCGAAGGATTGTTTACTGAGCAATGCCAAGCTTTTCAACCAACATCTGAGTTAAGTGCTTACAAATAAAAATGCTTACAAGTTTTATTATTATATGCTTGCAGAGAGATACTCCAACTGCTTTCAAGGGGAAAGAGAAACTCCACACACCAAATTCACGATTTGAAACAGGAAAATTTTGGAAAAAGGTAATGCACAATGAAATGGCCACATGATACAAAAGCACTGGGATCTGGAGTGGGCAGAAACAATGACTGCTTATCAAATAATGAATGAACTGTTTAAAATTAAAAAAAAAAAAAAAGTCAGCCATGGATGTTCTCTCTTAATCTGCAGTTTGAACAACAGCCAAATTTAGCCCAGATACTGAAACAGGATCAGAGTTGTTTCAGATCTGCCAGGGACAATCTCTTAGACTGTCATTACCAGATTCTGCTTTAGATGATAAATTTTTATTTTATTTTATTTGTTTTTTGAAGCTTTCTGTTCTCAATCTGACTCAAAATCTGGTCCATAATACAGGCCTTTTTCAGCTCCAGATTCATCTCAAATTAAAATTATATGTATAGTTTAGAATTCAATCCATGCTTAATTTCAAGGAACCAAACACCTGTAAGTGAGCCTCTGACTGCCCCACTCTTCTTGTGATACAAAAGGTATGTAGCATTTCAACACCCTTCCTTCTTGTTCCATTATTACCTAGCTTAAACAGGTTGTGCTAAGTAAAAGCAAAGCAAGGACAACTTCTGCAGAAGGTTTGTCAGCTGTCTTACATATGCCAAATTCTATTATATTTTGGTTTTCAATGAAAATTTAAAACACTAAGAATTTTTAGCAGATGTATTTTTGAACGTTTAGCTCAAGTGTCACTGTTCAAACAAAACCACGTTTGTCATATTTCCTTTCTGTGAAGCAGAACAATTGTAGGCTGGAATAAAAATGGGCAAAGAAAATGATTAGCAGTGGATGTTCCTACTACTGTTGCTTAGGGGCTGTCCCCATCACATTTGAATAAGCCTTCTAAAACTTGATTTTTTTTTTTTTTTTTTTTGTAGCAAAGGAAGTGATCAAATTAACCACAGACCATTTGTTTCTCCTGCTGCTAACTCATTTCATTTCTTATTGATGTCTAAATATATTGTAGGATTTTTTTTTTGCTTGTTAGAGATTATTGCCTGCATGTCTAAGTAGGTATTCTACCACTACAATTATCAGTGGAAAGACATGCTTTTCTTCTTAAATTATCTCTTATTTCAGACACCCAACATGAAACATCTCAGCAAAAGAGGTATTCAGCACTTTCACTTGGGAGGAATGAAGGCAGACAACCAAGAAGTGAAGCATCAAAATTAATGGATTGTGTTTGAAAAATTAACCTAAAACACTATGTACTTCTAAAAGAAGGTTTTAAATCAATAGTGAATTATGTTCTAGAAGATAAAACTGTTACATGACAACAGAACCAGATGACAGAACAACTGCCTGTGAAACAAGAGGAAAAAAACCTAATTTAAATAAACCACAGGGCTATCCTTCAGAGAAGCAGCTTGTGTAAGAGTCTTCACTGCATTTGAGAAGCATCATGACCTTTGATTTCCTTCAGTCTAGTTCCTGTTGATGTACCTAATTGACTTGGTTACTAGTACAGAGAAAAAAGAGAAGTCCTTTTATAATTCCTTATTCCCTATCCAAATTTTATGCTCACAGACACGTTAAGAGTACTTTTTTCCACCTCTCTTTAGGTTAGGTGGGGTGGAAGAGGACAGTAAGAGACAGCTTAATTTCACTTTCTCTGCCTGTTTGGATTAAGTGAGACAATGCAGAGGCTGAGAATAGCAGCAAAGGCTGAAGCGGGAAAAAGGTAAATTTCTACTACCAGGCAGCAGGAAGGAAATGAGAGGAATTTTGACTCACAGGTGTGTCTGAGTCAGTGTTTCTTGTGACGACAGCCGGGAGAGGTGGTAAAATTATACGTTTCCCTTTGCCCGGGCTATGGTTTCAAAACACAGCCAGTCGTGAGCAGACATGAGCATTACGACGTCTCTCCTCCAGCTGCAGCAGGAAGACTTGGAAGCATCAGGACTGCATTCCAAATCCTTTACAAATGTGTAGGATAAAGAACCAACCCCCCTCCTCCAACCACTAGTTATAATTTACAATTCACTGGAAGAAAAAAAAACTGATCTTAGCATTATTTATGAACTAAAACCCATGGTTATAGTTTGTTTATTTAAAGATCCATACAACTTTCACTGCTTTTGCACCTCAAGTGACATCCCAATTGCTGCCTTACTCCCAGTGTTGTTCTTAAATTCTAGATTTTAATCACAAGGGCATGTGTGCTTCTTCCACAAAGGTAATTAGCACGTGCGTTACAGTGTCAGGTCTCTCTGAAGGGAACCACCTATAAATTTGGGAAGCTTGTTGAACTGAGTCATCTCCACTTCTGGTATAACTACTTCAAAAAAAAAAAAAAAAAAAAAAAGTCTTATTTTCTGGCTTTGGAAAACAGTGGAGTTTTAAATACTGCCATGAGAAATCCTTGTAGTCTTTCATAGAGTACATAATTGCTACAACTAAACTTTCCTGACAGAAGCTGAAGACTAACAAAAAGGTCATCTCAGAACAATAAAAAAACAAGTGATTATGACCCTTATATTATCTCTCTCTTTTCTCTCTCCCTCAAATTGCTCCCATTACAACAGAAATGTTCTGCATTTTGATAGTCAGAATCTTCTGAAAAATTAAGAAGCACTTTCTTGTTACTAATGACCTCCACTTCATTCAAATTTGATCGAAAACAATTATATGTATAAATATTCAAAAGCTTTTACAGCTTCTTCTAAAGCCTCAGAAGAGAGAACAAAAGTTTTGGGCCAATCATTATAAAGCTTTTCTACCATCAAAGGGGCACGTGTCTGTATTGAATATTAGATGCTTTCACATCATTTGGGACCTACCTTTGATCAACAAGTAGCCAAGTACACCCTTGGTACTCACAGACTAAAAAGCAAAATAATTTTGACCTTACCTTTTTCCTCTGTATGCTAATGTACCCAGCAGCCTAATTACTGTCATGCACTGACAAGGTAGGAAAGTGTCTCTTCAAAGCCTCTTCCTACAGGAAAAGCAACCTGTTGTAAAATAGCTCATCTAAAGATGGAAGAGAAGTAGGTATGGCTTGATATCCAATTTTTAGTCTGCTTGTAACTGCTCCTTCCCTGAAAAACCTCAACTGCTCACAATTTAAATGAAAACCAGTCTATATGCTTCTCATTCAAGAAGAAACTGCAAAAGAATGAATAAACAAACACAGAAATAGCAGCTTCCAAAAAAAAATATAAAAATTCTACTCTCAAAGTCTAGCTGACATTTGCAGATACACAGCACTGCTCTTACAAGTGAGTACTATTTTTTTTGTGAATAATCTGATTCCAGGTAAACCCCCCAGTTTCAGAATACATAATGTTCATTATATACTATAGCAAAAGTTACAAACTCATTTCAGTATTGACACTGATCCAGGTTGTATAATGTCAAAAGATCCCGTGATCAACAACAAAGTATTGATGAGGCAAACTGGCACTATACAGCAGCTTCATGAGATCCTCAGTTAATGGATACTGAAGGTGAAAACACAATAACCTGAATTAGTAAAATGTAGTGGTGCTAGACCATGATGCTATTTCCAGGAATATCCTCTCACCAGTTTATACACTATATGGCATTGTGATAGGCTAGAAAAGGCAAAAGGTCTTGCTTTGACCAGAGGGAATATATTCCACTGCTACTTCATGATACCGGAGCAAGATTGATCTGAAGGAAGCAATAAGGCATCAAAGTCTTAAATATGTCCATCTGCCCCCCCCCCCCCCCCTTTTTTTTTTGTTGTTAATTATGAATTGCTTAGTAATCGCTTTGGAGAGCTGCATGCTCATTCTTTTTCTGAAGGATTGTCTCATGAATACACATGAAATACATCTGGAGCAAATGAAGAGGAAAGATCCACTCCTGGAACTCGGCCTGATGCCAAACCAAAGCACCAGAAATTTAACTGAGGATCTGAGAACAAAGAAGCAGAAGAGATGTCCAGTAACACTCTTGTGTGCCCATACTATAAGGAATGAGACTTGGTCCTTAGAAGTAATGCCATTTACAAAGTGAAGAAAATAGTTACCCAGAATATTCAATAACAATTTTGACCTGCTACATATCGTGGTCTGACAAAAAAAAAAAAGGATTTCAAAGTGGCACGAACTGACTATGTAGAGTAAGACATTAAATAAGAATATCATAAGAATCATACTGCAACTACTGTGGAAAAGTACTATGGACAAGAAAGCAGCAAATGCTGATGAGCTGAGCTTTACCAGTAACTATTAGTGATTTATTACAAAACAGCTGCATTGGGACATTTAAACTACTATTTTTTTTCCATTGCTAGCTGTCTGTTACTAGCTGGAAAGAGACTTTCAGTTCTACTTGTCTGCTTGGCATTTAGCACCATTCTCCACCCACACAGCCTATTCAAAATGGCACCCACACTGGAAATTTTACACTTTTAAACTTCAATTTTCCATCTGTATCAAATTCCACAACATTCCAGCTGCAATTCCAGAAGTCAACTGTGTTGTCTTCATGCCTGCTCTGCTGTTCACACTTTCTCTCCTCTCTCTTTTCTTGCCCTCCTGTTAAGCAAGTTGAGCAGTTTAAACTTTACTATACCCCCATGTAGGTTAAAAGTTAAATCGACTGCATCCAGTGTACAGTATTTGAAACAGCAGCAAATGAAAATAGCAAAAACAACTGAAAAAATATATATTGTGGCTGATTTTTTCCTTCAGCTTTTACTGTATTTGTGATTTTATGATGTAACATTGTTTACAGCACTGGAACAAGCACTGCAGAATTCCTCTGATTTGGCAATGTACTTTGTACTTATCTATAGCTTAAAAAAAAAAAAAAAAAAAGTTAAAGCAAAGACAGTAGTTCAGTTTGGTATAAATACTGCAAGACAAAGCAGCTCACTCAGGACCATGATCTGTTCTGTTCCTGCATCAGCTGCCAGAGACAATGCTGCTAAACAACAAAACGGAGCATCTCCCTCATTTCCCACTCTCTCTATATTTGGTGCTGACTCACATCTGGGATAACATTTCCCACTAATGCCTTCCAAGGGCATCTGACTTAAGCACACATTCAGTTACTGCTTCCCACCACACGCAAGTCAGCCACCCACATACCTGCCTTTGTTACACGGTAGCAATGCTGAAGAAAGTAATTTGGGAAAAATCTTGCCAGTGCAGAAGGAAGGCAGAAAAGTCTTTTTTGGAGGTGAGCTCTGTCACAGCTAAGGGAATAGAGGGTAGGAATGTTTTTCAAAACTGTAGGAACAGAAACGTGTCAGACAAGCAATACCCCAGTTAAGTATTCAGGCTTTCCACACTTCTCTTATCAGCTATGGTTTGTTCAAAGGCCCATCACCCATAAAATAAACAGATTGATTTTGAAACAAGCAAAGAAGCTTTATTCCAGGAAATTCATTCTGGTGGAGGACTGCAACGAGTTTTAGAGGAAATGTTCCCTGGAGGATTTCTCAACGGACAAGACTGTTGGTCTTGGAGAGGGACACAATGACGAAGTGCAGATGCAAACAGTTGTGACAGCCCTTTTTTGTTGCTGTTTTTTAAAAGACTGTAGGGTTGCAACCAAACTGTCCAGTGACTGCAAGCGAGAATAAACAAAACATGCACCCTAGCTCAGGCACCATATTCATCAGCTCTGTCAGTCATGCAGCCAGGAAATGAAGGCAGATCTGCTTGAAAATAGTTTAGAGACAGCACTAGTCTTCTATCCATTTCTACTAATAACCACATGTTCCTGTTACATTGCATTATTATAGTTGCATTATACTAATTTCCATAGGCCTTGCCTTCAACATGAAGGCAATCTGTTTCTGACTTCATTTTATGAACTCCAACAGACACTTTGCTGTGACATTTTGCCTTCTTGTTTATGGCATTTCTTACCTATGCCCAAACATCTAGTGAAGAGTCTCATAATCCAGGAAAGAACACGACGCATTCAGACACACAATAACAAGGAACCATCTCCTACAATTTAACATGACCAAGCTCCATTTTCCATTCCAGCACAGCTGTGGTTCAAAGTATGTCTGCAGGATGCAACACCTCAGCTCTGCACTCTGTTGTATGAAAGTACTTCTACAAAGACGAAAGAGGCCTTCCAGTACTTCTGAAGTTAAAGCATTAGCACTAGGAAATAATGAATATAAATATATGCCATTTAAGAGACCCGTGTATTTTGGAAACTGCACAGAAAGAAAGCAAAGTGTTGGGCTCTGAGATGTCTCCCATAACATTACAGTAAACATCTTTTTCAGATTAGACTTTCCTCCAAGGTGTTCCAAAACGTCCAATAAATGTCTAAGGTGTTCCAGTTGTCCAATATTAAGCTGATAGGAAACGATCAGAGATGGCAAGCTTTCACGCAGCAAGACCTTCCTGAAGTTCTCATACAATGGCTGATCACCATTGCTCAACAGTTCACTACTCATCTTCATTTCAGCAGCTGCAAGCCCACAGCACTGCTATATCCAAGAAAGGCTCCAGATAAATACACTGTAGAAAAACAAGCTCAGTTCTCCCATTTATTCTTCTTTGTTAGACATAGTCCTATGGAATACAAAGCCCAGTGAAGATGCAGAGCCATTATCATCCACAGACATGCCATTAGTTATAGTCTAGACTCTTGCTTCCCATTCAACCATGCCAACACAGTGTCTCCTACTCAGCAGCTGTATAATTTCATAATCTAGTTCAGTGAAAGGAATAGCTGCTTCTTATTTCTGCCTGTGGCTGGCATGGGAGGTTAGGAGGCTAGGCAGAAGACAGAAAGAGCACAAGTAAAATCTTACCCAAAGTATTCATCCAGGAAACATCAATAGGAACTGGCAGCGACCATTTTAGGTCTTTGGGGTGATGTTTCTTTTTGACACCTTGGAAAAGCAAGGAAAAATAGAAGCCCATTATGGTACATAACTTGCCTTCCTATTTCATTTGTCCTTCCGAGCTTCTCAGTTACCAATATGCAAGGTTAAGAGAAGAGAGTTCATGAGTCTGTGTGGGCAGTAGGAGCTAAGATTACAGCCAAACTACTGTATTTGCTTGTGATACACCCAATGTCACTATCGCACTGTAAGCAAAGGCCCCTAGGGAGCTGAAAAGAAAAGGGCATAGAAGGCAAAAGAATAAACAGTGACAGAAACAAAGGGCAGACCTTCCTCCTACCCCTTTTCCAATATGAGGTAATTCAATTAGGATTTAAATAACACTTCAAAGTATATTTATAATTTTAATGACAATCTCTTCTAGTTTAAATTTTTACTGGTAAATCTAACAGATTTTTGCTCAAAATAAGCAGTAAGAACATCCATTATTAACTGCCTATAAAAGATACTCTTTTTTTGTGTGTGTGTTTTATTTTCGCCTTGTCACTTGGATAGCCATGTAAAACAGGTTTTGCTAAAACAATGTGCAATATAAAACAAGAATGCTGTTGGGAGTTCAACGGATAATCAAGGTGCTAGTTACCTGTGCAGGTTAAAAGTAGATGGCAAAGTTAGGCACAACTTTGACTGAACAAGTACATCTCCTGATTTTAAATACAAATTGTAGAACTCTGCATAGTAATGTTTCCATTCCTACACGATTTGTGTATTTATAAATCAGGTTTACTCATCTCTTAACATTTCAAAAGGTCTACGATGATTTAATGTTAATTTTGATGAAGTTCTTTTTTTATTTTAAAGGTGAATTTACAAACTCATGTTCTCACAGCCATCTACATGCTGGTAACAGTGTACAGCAAGGACAAAATGTTGAGTTACAAGGCTTTAAGGTTTGTTTTTTATTATTTTTTTTTTTGTACTGTCAATTAACACACTTCTAGTCATCTTTGGCCTAGACTTGTTCCCAATTTATTTCATTTTCCTTCCTCATTCATCTTTTTGCAATAACGAAATAACGATGACTGTCATGGCTCTTTGAAAAGATCATTTCTTTCCACCACACCAGCTGTACATGGAGAAGATGAAACTGACTCATTTGGCTCTATAGTTAAGTTGTAACTCAAAGAGAGAAAAAAAAAATCTCAAGGAACTTGAGCCAGTTTTATTTTTAGGCAGCTCCTGGTGTCCACTTGAAAAGGAAAGTCCTTTGAGAATTACAACCAAGAAGTCATAATCTAAAATTGCATTTAAGAAATCACATCTAAGAAAAACTCTGGAACCAAACATCTCAACTTTTCTTAGGATAAAGTTCTGCCAGCATGAATATGATTTTAGAAGTTGCCTAAGTTTGTTTTCCTAGCCCTGCAATCCTTGCTCAACTACTTGAACATGAAAGAGTATCTAACTTACATAATTACTAAACCAAGTCTTTATCACTTTAAAAAACACATTTCATACGCACACTTAGTCATGTTTTTAGGTGTGTAATAAAGTGTTACACTGCTCAAAAATTAAGTGAAAATATAATTATTTCCAAACCTACCTCAAGTACATGCATAGTAAAGAATATGCCTCATAAAGGTATAAAAGTTTTTTTTTTTTTTTTTTTTTAATAGTTATGAAAGTGTCTAAGTGAAATATGGTCAACCAAACAAAAACAGATAAGAAATAAGGAAGTCACAAGCAAGGTGGCTGGGAAATGACATTTTTACCTTTAGTCTTTCAAGATACATATGTACATGTGTGTATATATATATGTATGTATATTTAAGTAAAAAATTGTATGTATATGCACACAAACATCCCAAACAATGGAGAATTTCCTGTAAAATTCCTGCACACTTGGCAAACATGTATTTTACATTTATGCTGCTAAATGAAAATTCAGTCTCATTTCAGCAGAGCTCTTGGACTCAGATAAATCTTAAGTACTTGTAAAATGGACTACTTAATACAGCACTAACTACAGAAAGTAATTAAGTGCAACCAATGACATAGATCCACAAAAGCAAGCAAACATTTGTATCGAGCAGACTATCTGGAGAGCCACATTTTACATTTTGGTTTAAACCAACGGAGTCCTGCTAATGTCAATTGACTCTAATCATACATCTCTTTTGAAAACAGCTCAGCCTATTTTAAAAATACCATACTACCACTCCATTGTAAGAAGACCATTTTAAAAAAAGCTTGGAGAACATCTAAAATTGAATATCTCAGATTACAGAGTATTTAAATGGTTCATGCAATACAATTAAACTAGTTATAATTAGTGCCAATGCTTTTCCTGCTGATTCTCCAAGTTCATCATTCTGAAAATAACATCAGTTGAGTGAAAATCAAATCTATCTCATATTACTTGTACTACTCAGAACCTGGAGTAACTTCACTGAAGAATCCTGTATTTTTCTACTATTTGGGCTAATCTGACATCATTGTTTCCAACGGTTTATTAAAATTATACTAAAATACAATTGAATTGCACATGAAAGATCCAAATGAGGCTATGTATAACAACTGTACTTGTGGGTACACTACTTCATAGAAGAGCTGCAACTGCAGAAAATTTATTACACTTTAAATCACCACCAAAGTTCTGACTAATTCTTATCCTACTCCTTATTTATAAGCTGCTTAATAAAGAGTACTTTAATATTTAAATTCTGGCTGGCAGCCCTAATTAAAATAAGCAAGTCTCACGGCAGTTCTTCTGTTCCACTCAGTGGATGAAGGAGTCACATTCAAATATTCACACAGAATATTGCATTTTGTAAGCTCCAAATTCACTGCCAAGGAACTGCCTCCAGTATTCACTCCAGTTTCACTATTTCAGCAAACAAGTGTTCTTTCAAACTAAATTGGGACTTCTCTAAAGGTAACCAGATAAAGCTGGTTAAAGTGAAAATAAAGAAAACTTGAATAAACAGCAGTCTAAAATATCTTGCAGAAGAAGCTGAACTATACACTGACAGACAGATGAGCTACGCAAGTAACTGGGTACAGCCAAGTGCTATTCACATACAAAGTGAAGAAGATGCTACATTTATTTCTTAGAAAAATAAATGTCTTAACAGAGTATCACCTCAGTCGATGAAATCTTAGCCATACTACATACCAGGAAGAGTTCAGAAACTCAGGAAAACCTCGTAATCAAATGCATTTGAGTTAACTGTGTAGAGTTTTCCTTAACATTTTGTTTTCATATTATCATTGTTATCAGCACAATGTCGAGCCCTAATAAGGTGTTTATCTAGTCTGTAATAAGGAATAGGTACTCAGTTGCACCCAGATCCACTACTCCACTTGTCTGAAGGCTATTCACTTAGCCTGGCTGAAGAATGGCCCCCCAGTTAATGCAAAACAGTGAAAACCTGTGAGCATTTTGTTTGAATAAATTCCAAAGGTGATATTTGTATTATAAAGTCAGTGAAACCAAGCCGTTGAACTAGAGGTACAGGCCTATATTTTTATACAACTTCCAAAATAACTTACTGCTTACAGTATCTTTGCTCTGACTCCTCTCTCTGATTCCTTTCCCCCTCCTTCAGAGGTCATTGGTAGAACTGCATGCACAGATATTAAGGACTTCTGTGAGTTCTGCCTCCATACAGTAGCACAAGAGAACCTGGAATTAAACACATTTTCCGTGAGGATGTTTATGTAACCACTGCATTCCTTGAAGATTTTTAAAAGGTTTCCTTCACTGTCCCAATTGTCTTATTCCAAGTACCCTTCCAGAATCTTAGCTGTTTAACATTCACCCATCATAAATTCCACAAATTTTCCCCATTTATAGTTTGGAGATTTCTGACTAGTTTACATGCTCTATTTCAGCTTTTTGGCTCAGCCAGCTACACTTTTCATAGGCTTGACTGCTCATTAATCATGCCTGATAGATTTAAAATCCAACTGGTGTAATTTAGTCAAGTAGAAGGAAAGCAAGTTCACGAAAAAATATTTTCAGCTTTGGCCAACAGGAAAAAGAAAAGCACATTGTAAATTTTTTCCCTTCACAAAGTGTTTCACATTTTTAAAATATTTGCTTTGGCATGCATTCTGCCACGCACCCCCCATTATCTACCGTGCTCCTCTTTTGAAAAGTATAATTCTGTTCAATTTCAATAAAAGTTACAACAACCTAGAATCCCAATGCTACTAGGTTAAAGTAGATATTCTGTATAGGCAAGAAGTATGGTGGATGTACAGAAACAGACACTCAGCTGAATTAAACCCAAATAGCTCTGCAGCCTTTGTTATGTCCATGAGGATGCACAAGGTTATGAAATTGGGTTGAAGAGCTTTGGGAGTGAGGCAGGACTGAATTTAAAAGCAGCAGCATGTTGTTTTATTCAGGGTGCACAAAGTGAACTGCTCCTGCTACTGTACTGCTGTAGCTGATCAGAGGGTTATGAGAGGATAGTAAGAATTCCCACATGTCTTTAGAAATTGTGTTAAAAATGTACAAAAAGGGATGAGATTTCAATGCTTAGCTTCTGTATGTCACTAAATGGGGAAAGCTCTACAAGTACAAATTCTTTAGAATAGAAAAATGAATATATTAACTCCTTCAGAAGAAGCCTTTTAAAGTTTTCTTTTTGACTCCTGAGCCAAGCTTCAATCAACCCTTCCAGTGTATGGACTTCTACCCTGTGACAGCTACACCATCTCTTCACCTGCATCAGACAGCAAAGCCAGCCTCCGGAGCACATTGCGTAGACATGAACAGCACGGGTAGCGCCTCGCTGAGCCTCTGTGCACACTCACCCAGTACCCCTAATACCACCTCACACTTCAGCACTGATGTTCAGTGCCATTTATCAAAGCCACAGTCACGGGTTAGAAAGAATAATCCTAGAGGATATTGCCAGAATCTAAATCCAATTCATATAGTGCAAAAGAAACGAGGAGCTTATGAGTGCGTTCTGACAAAATTTAATCATGCTGCACAAGGACAATAGATATCCTGAAGATTTCTATGGAAAAGTGCAGTGTTTGATCCAAAACCATTTCAGAAAAACAGATGCAAGCAAACAAAAGCATCCAAGGCTATCAGAATAGGCAAGATACCCTGTGCGCCTCCAAGCACCTTCAAGAACAGAAACCTTCACATGCGTTAAGTTTTTAGAAATCACCAAATATCTGCTTTTAAGAGACTAGGCTGCATTTTTAAGGATTCATGAATGGACATCTGAACAGATCTCTTTACTTTTAAAAATTCTGGATATATTTGCCATATGGAAAAGAATAATATATGAAAACCATTTGCAAAAGATAGGACTCTCCTGCTTCCTCCAGCCTTTCTTTGTAAGGCTGAACAAAGCCAAGCATTAAAAACTCAGTTGCTGATATTCACTTCTACAAGGACGGAGGTAAGCACAACAACAAACTCTCCAAGCTGCTAACACACAATGATATTAACACACATTTCTGACAAAAATCTGTAGCATTTAGACCATCTTCCATCCTGAAAAAGCACAAAAATATGTAAAATTTCAAAACGAGGGATGACCTAGCAAACATTACACAGATTGCCTTTTTCATATCTACCTGAAAAAAAATGAAGAAAGCTTTTACTTGATGTGATTGATAGACTCTTTACTAGACCAACCATGGATGGTACCTGGTGCCAAAATTACACAGCTGTTCAGAAACAGAAGGCTTTAACCATGAACATTTTACTCCTAAAAAGCAAGCATTGGGACACGGTTTTGATCATTTGTGCAAGAGCAGGATAAAGCCTATGAGGAATTCTGTCAGTGTATGGCTGACTGCTGGCTAGAGAGAGAAATTATCTTTGCTCATTTCCAGCTCTGCTGAAGGAAAATTTTGAACTACGTCAGAAGTAGCTTTTGGTTATGCCCTATAGTGCTGTGCTATGCTTTTTAAAGTTGTAAAATAATAAATAACAAAAAAAGAGAACAGAAAAGGGAAGAGGAAAATATTGGCACAACAACAGGGTTATATGTCAGTGTAGCTAGTTTTACATTTAGCTGCAAGTGACAACAAAATAAGCACCTGGATATATAGCTAGGTCAAGAAACTGTGGGGAAAAAATAGTAAATCATATCTTCAGTAATTAAAGTCACATTTTTGCTGTTTGATACAAGAGTGACAATGTTCTGGTGGGTACTTTCTGGCTGCTTAGACAATGGGAGCACCCATGTATGGCTGGATACATTGAAATCTAGGTAGAAAGTGACAGAAATTCACCCTCCCCTCAAAACAAGTTAATTTAAATTTCAATTCATTACTAGTTTTATTTTGACATCTATTTTTCATTTGAGACAACATGCCTTATAATCTGAAACTTAATGGGAATGAACATTACACTCTTCCATACAACAGAATTAACAGAATAATGAAAGGGCACATTTCAATGTAGTACGCACTATTCAAAATATGACTGCTTGATGCGTTAAAATGAACATTTCAGAAAGGCAGAAATCACTTATTCTTCTCCCCAGTAGTCTGATTCACTATTTTTCATTTTCCTTAAAAAAAAACTGTAATGAAGTAGAAAAAGTACAATCACCAATTGCGTTACGTAGAAGGAGCAACTGATGCAAAAAGCTTGTAAACTCAGTCTGAGACTAACTGAATGCTCTGAAGCATTCAGCAAATAATTGCAAGTATCAGATGCATTCAGTTTGTGTTTGCAAATGACCTATCCAAAAGCAAAATCACTCAATTCTATTAAAATTGTGACTTGCCTTACAAAACATACAGCCTACTTTCAGTTTGGGAAAGAAAACTTATTTTAAATTAAGTTAAGCAAGAAAGAAAAATCCAATGTGTTTACTACATCAAAGACAAAAGGTTCCTGTCTTTGCTCGCAAACAAAATATTCGTAGAACTCGAAGCGTACAGGAAATGAGATAGACCACAAATTCATAGTCAAGGATTCAAGCGAAGAAAAAAAAAAAAAAAAAAAAAAAAGTTGTTGTCTTCCTACAAAAGATGGACAGAACATTAGAGACTATGTTCTCCAGTAATGATTGGTACAGGAGAATAAATTTAATCTAATAAACCATAATGCTTATGTTACTATTTCCTAGCACTGCACGATTTCCCTGTTTAAGACACTGTCTTAATAAACTGAAAACAGTTTTGCTTGCTGCAAAGAAGACCATATGCCAGTGACTGTCTCATTCAAGTATTTCAATTAAAGCTCCTAGTAACGTAGTCCAAATCCCCACTAACTGAGGTTATTTAGATTTGTAGAAGCACAGAGGAAGTCTTTCCTATGCTAAACCGTGTTCAACAGACACGTGCTTGTTTCCTTTCAAAGTGTAGCTCCAGGGAAGGATGGCAATGGAAAGTCCTTAGCCACATATTTTACAACCACTTACCACAATTTGGAAATCTTAGAAATTCTGGTGAAAGCAGAGATATTTGAATGGAAAAAAAATAAAAAAAAATCCCCCACACATGAAAGCTTCTAATTCTCAAGTCAAACAAGAGCTCCCAGTTGTATTTGGACAGGATATTAAATAGGATGTTCAAGTTAAATATTGCAGCTATTGTTTTATCAGACCAAGATTAGGAAGAACAAAGATCATGGCACTGGGCAGGAACAGGATGGGGGAAAAGAAAAAAAAAAAAAAAAGAGGATTTTGAAATTGATCTTTTTTATGCTATAGCACAGAAAGGATAAATTCAAGAGGTGGTGCTAAAGCGATAAAACTTAGTTAAAGCTTTTGCACCTGCTCTGGCAGATGGATGCAATTAATAACACAAAAGAAACAGAAGAGCTCATGTAAAATTGCTCCCTAAGGGTTAGGTTGTTTTAAAATTAAGCTGACACACTTTTTTTAATACAATATATTATGGCAGAGATGTGTTCTGAAGTGAGCTGTCTAGTTTACAGCAAATGAACTCATTAGCAAGGTGTATATACAAACACAGGCCTGGCCCCACAATTAGTTTTCATACTCAATCAGCAAACAGCTAATGTATTTTTTAATTGCTCCTTGTAAAGGAAATTGTTCTGATGTTTTGCACAGGAAACAGTATCATACTTAAGTTGATTTTCTCCTAGAGTCAATGAAAGATTTGAAAACATAAGCCTGCAAGCTTTTGTCAGTAAAATTCTTGCCAATGTATTTGCAAGGTACCCCTGAAATAATTCAATCCTCACATCCAAGAAACAAGCTGAAAGTAAACTTCAGTATTTGAAGTCAAATCAGTGTTAACAAAGATGAAAGGCCTCATATTACAGTAGACATGCACATGTGAGCGTATTTATATGCACATGCACTGTCACAATACTTGTGTGCAGTAACCAGTCACGATGATGCAGACATATGGCAATCCCTGATGTTAAATTATGAGGACACTCCCTCCTAGTTCTGGCTCACGTCAGCTGATGTTTTCTCAAACAGCTCCAGGGAGGTTCAGGGTTAGCACAGGTCAGGGATTGCTACTTGGATGCAGGTACAGGGGTTGATGAGGGTGGTGGTGTAGGGATTTTAGTAAGAATTGTGGCTACCATACACATTGCACCATGGCACCTAGCCTCAGGGCCAGAGAACAGCACCTGGCCCATTCTGCTTACAAGTACAGCCCCAGACAATCAGTTTGTATTCCCAAGTCAAGAACAGAAAGAGTATGTGAATCCTCAGCAAAGAACTAGCGCAGTAACAATACATTATGAGCAGTTATGTTGCTGTTGGAGAATAAGACTGATTTCCACAGTGCAAGCTAGCAAAGAAACTTTAAAAAGTAATATTTTATTTTTTTTAAGTCACTCCTCAGCAAAGTGGGCTGAAGTATTTGGTTATTTGTATTTCATGCATGAAAATCTTCTTTTGGATTTCTAGAAACCAATAACAAACTCCCCCCAAAAATGCAGGTTTAGGGACTTGATGAAAATGAAGAGCTTAAGTAGACAGAGGAAAAATAATTGCGATTGTTAGAAGTAGATGAGTTAATTGGATAATAATCAAATGACAAGCTGCCATTGTTATTAGCAATTTTCTCAAAGTACCCATGCACTAAGGCAGGAATAGCATCTGGTATTTACAGGAGTTATCAGTAAGAGAATTCTTAGTGCCACAGGTGATCTGATCTGTTTTGGTTTCTGTCTCTGAGATTGCTATGATAAAACAGGTAGATATGTTGCAATGTGGCTTAAAAGTTACCAGAAAAAAAAAAAACAAAAAACAAAAAAACGTAGCTTGCAGCTTAACCTTACAAATCATAAACAAATGACTTAATTTGATAACTGAAGAGCCTAACATCCTCGAGAGCACTGCAAAACAGTGGCATGAAAAGATTTTCCATTTGATCCATTTTAATATTCCTAGCAGTTATTGCAGGTAGCTATTGCAATAACTGGGTAATGGGGTAGGGAGCAAAGGGGTCACATATAAGGCCTTGCACATTTCTAGGATGCACTAAATAAAATGTACATAAGCAAATAGCCCTGAAAGTTAAAAGGTGTATGTTGTTACTGGCTTTGTGTGTGCCTTTTTTGTTTATTTTGTTTTTATACAGAGCAGATGGGTGTCAGGCAGCAAAACAATAGCTGTTTCCAGCAGCTCTTAGAGCCTCAGCTTCCCTGCAAAGAGAGAGCAGCTGCTTTCTGCTGGGGCACCACACACCCTGCAAAGGGCATCACCCTGTCCAAGTCCAGCCATTAAAAGGCCATCCACCAGTACAGTGAAGAGGCTCCATCCCTACAAAAAGTCAGCTTTTCGTAACATTGTATGCATCCAATCACATACCAAGCGATGACTGAAAACGTAAGGATGCTGGGATACCCAGGGTATCGTATCACAACGAGCCAGAAGTCTCTCCACATTCAAGTTTTGAAATAGCTGACCTAAGCTTTTATAAGCACTGCTACCACAGCACTTAGCATAGTGCATGCTGTATTAACCTTTTAAAACTGTATCATATGTGATGGCAATACTTTATCTTATTTAGGTGGCTGTAAGGAAAACCTACATCCGACCTCTTCCTTGTTCTTATGTTTCTGCATATTTTGGCAAACTTGCTTTGAATGGGGCTAAAGAAAATGTAGAAATGAAGACAGCTTCCAAACCACATACATTGAGCGACTGCAGATAAAAATCAATATTTTAACATTTGGTGAAAAAAAAAAAACACCAACAAAACATCTCTCTCGCTTCCAACTATTGTCAATGGCTTTGACGAATTTCATTCAAGAGTAGCAAAGCTTCATTCAGCCTAACCACTCCAGAGGAATGAGTCACCAGCAGAGCAAAAAAACCAGCTAACTGATTGTAAAAATTGCAGTGGATAAACGTAACCTAAGTTACTTTTAATCTCCTGTACTTTCCACTTTACTCTCACTTTCCATCAAGCAGTTGGGCTTTTCAACAGGTAGTATTAATTTGCTTTTCAGTAAAATTATCAGGTCTGAAATCCTTACCTTACAAAGGGTATTTAAGAGTACACCACAAGGCTTCTCTCACATTGTCTTTCTTTCTCTGACATAACCTGAGTCACAGCCACCTTCTCTCCATCCTTTTCATTACAGGGTTTTACCAAATCCTTACAGCAGCCATCCAGGCATTACATGACTAGTTAGTAAATTAACTAGGCTGAAGAATGAGTTTCGCATAAAACGAAATTTACAGAATTTGTTGCCTCTGATTTACTTCATTCCCATTCTGTAGTGTTCTTATATAGTGATTAAAATACTCATAAGCACCAGATCCAAACTGCCATATTCTTCAGAATAATAAAAATTAGGTCAGATCACTCATGATTAAGAGAGAACCGTGGAGGCATTTGAATGTATGTACTAAACCTGGGGGCCTTCATTAGCTATCAAACTTTCCTAGGCCCCTTCTACTTAGCCTGAACAGAAAAACTCTCTTTCCCACCAAGATTCAAAGGATCTGATTTAGGTTTCTGCTTTGAATCACCTCGTTGTCTTTTTGTGGTCTTTCAATGGTTTTGCACATAGCAGACTGGCTTCTTAATTTAAACTAGTAAATTGCACAAAGCTGAGCAGTAGGGATTACCCTCTCACATGCCCTTCTGGATGGCTACAGCAACATACTGCAATTGGCCAGCATCAAAACAACCCAGCTGGCCAGTGCCTTCAGCCACCACCCTTTCAAGTGCCTTTTATCCTCAGGCACCCCACAGATCCGGCCGACAAGTCACGTCCTTGTGTTCTCCAATGCTAACAAGCGCATCCCTTGAACTTCAAACACAGAGCAGCTGTTTGCTCCTCCTCTCCCAGTCTTTACTTCTCAGCTGTCTTCTATCAGATGGTCCCTTCACTCTGCGTGTTGGAAACCACAAAGGCAATGCTGTGTCTTCTATCCCTTTCACGGTACAGCACACAAAAGACTGGCTCATCTTTAACACGCTTGATGCTGAAGCTGCAGGTATTTCTTTCAACCTCTTGTCCCTGCTGGCTTGCTTCCAACAGAAATTCACGTGACCCTCTGAGGACTCTATTTCCCAGAATACCTGTATGTACCATGCAGCACAGACAATGAAAAAAAGCCCCTTTGATAACCACCCGCTTTTATAACACAGCTGGCTATTCACTTAATAACACAACACACACACAGAGGGATGCAGGAAACCAAGCTGCTTATTCCTGCTGGCTCTGCACTCAGATGAACTGCAAGGCAACATGACTCAGCCCCACACAGCTACCAAGGCCAACTCACAGATCATAGCTCTTGGCAGTGCATGGAATATGAAGAGAATGACATGAAAACAACAAAAGCAAAACAATCAACAAAAAGAATTAAGATTTAAGATGCTCAGAAAAAAAGTGTTAAATCATTTGATTCATCCACAACCAAGATAGAGCAAAATGAAGAGCAGTCGCTACCAACCATGTCTTAGGCAAGCAGAGCTCCAAATGAAAAAAAGGATAGGGAGAGCTGCCAGAGAAGAGTTTTAAACCAACATTTAAATCAACATAGGAAAGAGAATAATTTACAGATCCTCCAGTGGAATGAGAAGCTTCCAACCCACGTAGGCCAAGTACCTGCCAATTCGTATTTTAAAGCTAAGGAGGAACAATGACCGTAGAGGACGTTACTGATGTGATTTTATTGTTGTGCGTGCGCCCACATTAACTACTTGACAGATTTTAAATCAATAGAAAAATACAAGCATAAAAATACCCGTAAATGACATTATAAATAAAAGGAACGCTGAAACACTCTACTACAACCGTTTCTATTGCTTTTCGGACTCCTATTTTGCTATAAGCCAAGGATTAGAAGAAAAAAAAAAAAAAAAAAAAAAAAGAAAAATGGTTATTTTTCAGTCTTCACAAAATTACCGCAAAAAGAACACAATTGCTGACATTCAGAAAACTAAAATTTAAAAGCACTCTTTACTCTTCATTTTATGAAGAGAATGGTTATTCTCTTCATAACATAACCTCAAAGTTTTCAAGCGCTTTATTTTCATTTCTCTGCGTGATAATTAATTATAACATTAACACTCACAAAGCATAATTATGCCCTGGAAGGTGTTCAAAGGGATCTGAAATGAACTGTCTCGCACCCTGTGCGGCTCATCTTCACTTTTTCCCCTCTCCAACTTTCACAGGGAATATAAAGAACCTAGAGGAAAAAATCACCCCTAAAACAGATGTGTAGTGTTAGGTCAGTTGGGTTTACATTTGGTTTATATTTACTATATGCCCACAGACATCGAGGTAGGCACAGGGGGAAGTTTTTGCACTTTTGATCAGCGCCTTTCAGGACTGCACTGTAAATGTTACAGCCCCCGATGCCTTTTGTAGCTCTCCAGCCCGCTTTAATAGAAGATTAATAGCAGAAGCGTCAGCCCCGGCCGCAGCGCAGCCCTGCTGCTCTCTCACAGGGCGGGCAGAGGAACCAGACGTGCTCAAGGCGCACAAGTTCCTGCTCTTTGCGGCCGCAAGACCGAACCAAAACAAGCCTCGGGAGCGTGAAGAAGCACAGAGTGCAAAAAGCCCCAGAGGCAGCGTGACAGACCCTTGGGTTTTAACACATTTTGGCGAGAGGGAGGACGTGCGACACCGCTCCGAGCCCCCCTCAGCCGCCCCCTCAGCGCCTCGGGGGCAGGACAGGAAGCTCCGTCCCCCTCCCCTCCGCGCCCAGCACTGGCCATTTCCCCCATCACTCCCAGCCCCTGCCGGCTGCCGCCCGGCTTCACGCTCAGTCACCGCCTGCCACGTCAGGCAGAGGCGGAGCGGAGCGAGAGGGGAGCGGAGCGGAGCCTCCGCTGTGCCCGGCCCCGCTCCCTCTGCCGGCGGCGGGCGTGCCGTGAAGGGGAGGGGAGAGGAGGGGAGGGGAGGGGCGGCCGCCGGAGCGCCGCGCCGCGGGGCGGGGGAGGGAGCGGGAGTGGGAGTGGGAGCGGGGCCGCGGCCGCCCGCCCGCCCGCCCGCCGCACTTTGTAGGAGTGAGGGGCGAGCGCTGCCCGCCCGGGGCTGCGAGCCGCGCTGCAGCACAGCCTCGCGGCGTCCCCTCTGTCCCCTCCGAGCCCGCATGTGCCCGCAGGACGCCGGCTCCCTTGGCGCCCCGTACCCGGCTTCCCTGCGGGGCTGAGTCCCGCGGGGGCAGCGCCGCGATCGCGAGTGGCGGCGGCGGCGGCGATCGGCGACAAGGGCCGGGGCGGCGCGGGATGCGCCCCGCCTGCCTCCTGGGGCGGTGAAGCCCGCTGCCGGAGGACGAGGAGGAGGAGGAGGAGGAGGGAGGAAGGACAGCCTCGTCCGACCAGACGCTTCGGGTGGAGGGCGGGGGGCGCGGAGCTGCTGACCCCCCCCCTCCCCTCCCATCCCCTTCCCGGCGGCTCCCCCTCGCTGTAGGGAGCCTGGCCGTGCTGCTCCGTACGTATCCTGTCTGTCCGCCCGTCTGTCCGTCCGTCTGTCCGCTCGGCTCCCTCCAGGGGCAGGTGCCTGGGGGGGGACCCCGGGGAGGAGGTGGGGGCACCACTGGGTGCCGCGGTAGCGCCGGGCTCCCTCCTGCCGGCTTCAGCTCCGCCCGGGGAGGGTGGCGAAAAGTTGAGCCCGGTGCCCAAACGTGCCCGGGGGGCTTCTCCCTCTGCCTCGCCTCGCGGTACCCCGGCGGCAGCAGCCGGTGAAGCAGCCGCCGTCTGTCTGTCTGTCTCTGTGTCTGTCCCCGCGTCCAGCTCGGCTCCCCCATGGCCAACTCGCAGAACGGCCGCAACCCGCGCAAGGGACGGATCCTGGGCTTCATCGACGCCATCCAAGATGCTGTGGGGCCCCCCAAGCAGGCAGCCGCCGACCGCAGGACTGTGGAGAAGACCTGGAAGCTGATGGACAAAGTGGTGAGCAAAGAGTGGTTTTGGGGGGGGACACTCCTGCGGCTCCACCAGCTCCGTGCTGTGCCCCTCGGGAAGTGTTTTAGGCTATTCAAGCACCATTTGCCTTTATTTATTTATTTATATTTTTTCCCTGTGGCCTCCGGCTATGCTTTTTCTTTTTTTTTTTTCTTTTTTTTTAATCTTGGTTTGTGTCAGGAAAACAAATATGTGTGTTTGCCTTAGGCTATTGTTATTTTCAGAGCCTGTAAAATGACTCAAACTTGAAAAGCTGAGCTGTCCTAATGAAAAACTGCTTAACTTAGCCTGGTAATCACACACTCTGTGTTTTTCGTGTCGGATCACATTGTTAGTCTGCAAACAAGACCTCTGAAGCATGAAACTTCAGCTAAGCTAATCGTCCTGTGAGACGTGCTCACGATGGTAGCATAGATACGTCTGTGCTTTTAGGAATGTGCGTGGGGACTGGGGGATGTCACTCTTGTCAGTTTAGTAAACAGATTTGTACGCACACCTACCTTTTAAGTGTGTGTTCTGCATTTTGGTGAATTTTTACTACTTTTAATTTTCATTTTGAAACCAGATGTGTACCGTACTGAAACTTATTTTTCAGGAAGTGGGAGTATAGTTTTCTAGAACTTCTCCTAGTGCTCTGGACCAGCCTGATAAATTTTATTTAGTGTTATACAAGATGACAGCTTGCTGTAGATTAGCTAGGAGAGCTTCTTACTGATGGTAGGAATAGTTTGATTATGATACAGATAACTGTTCAGGGGGCACAGGCGCTCTGTTTCGCATGTGAGTGATATTGACAGCTTCCTCTTGAAACTCATGGAGAGTGAGGAATGCTACCTGTTAGCCTTGGGTCCGTATGTCTAGAGTTATGACTTCTTAACTCAGCGATTCTACATGAATTAGTGTAACCATTTACTTTTCCTGTGGCTCTTGTACAGTGCAGATGTTTAACATGTCTTAAAGTTTGTCAGAAGTGACTCTGACGTACTGGAGATATTTAATTTAATGTAATGTGCCTTGACAAATGGCAATTTCAAAGTATTTGATTGAGTCCTCATATGCTCTTCTTTTTGATGCTCTAACAATTGCATTTGTATTTCTACCACAATTTCTGATGATGATTATAAACTTAAAAACCAGCCTTCATAGAAATGATATAGTATGAATCATCCGTCCCTGGGGGTGTTTAAGGAAAGGCTGGATATGGTACTTAGGGACATGGTCTAGTGGGTGATATTGGCGGCAGGGAGACAGCTGGACCAGATGATCATGAAGGCCTTTTCCAACCTTAATGATTCTCTGATCACAAAGATGACTTTATTACCACAGAGACTTTGTTGACATTTCTCTATTAGTGATCAGGATGCAGTAAGCAGTGAGTATCTTGTAATGAGAAGTGCAATTGTAAACACTTGGAAGCAGGCACTGTTCTTGAGTAGAAGGAAGTTTTCAGGAAACCTGGAATCTGTTTTGTCATTGCTGAAACCACGTGGGGAATGTACAGCTTAATTTCCGCCCTGTGTCAGTCCATTTACAAGTCTGTATGGTAAGATTGCCTCTGGTTCGTTTATATGTCCACAGATACCAGCAAATCTTGGACTTGTGGATTGCTTTTACTCATCTGTTGTGGGATAACTTTATTTGTTGCTATTAAGACAGAGCATCGGAACAGCCAGTAAGGCCTGTTCTGTAGAATTCACTGGAAAGGCTGGACATTGTGCTGTGCTTTCTTTTTCATTTTACGGATAAGTGTCCTCAATTTGGATCTTTAATGTATCCTCTTTAAGCTGCTCTCAGTTAATCAAATTTAATTTCCAAATTATATTAAAGTATACCAGACAGGATGATGTCATAGTGTGAGAATGCCGTAGCTTTCTGTTTGAGTTTTTAGCATTTGGTCCTTATAGTGAAAGGATGTTTGAACAAATTGAATATGTTGGCAAACAAATTTAAGTCTCAGCCTCATGTGGCAGGAGACACAGGAAGGTCATTTTATCCTTTGCCTAAATCAAAACCAGGGATTAAAATCAGAAATAGAAACCTGCTCGATTGACTGTTGCTTCAAATCCCATTTCTGGACCGTGTCCGATGACTGGTGTCTGTGGTGGTTCACTGATAAAATTAATACCTGGTGAAGGCAGTAGGCTACTCAGAGCCAGCGGGGTGCCACCCA